TCCATTACGTGCACATAAAGTTATTTATAAAAGGAAGAAACAATCTCAAACTGATTAAACAAATTATTCAATCTTTAAAAGACTATTGTATGGAAAATATAAAAATAATTCAAGATTTACAGGTAAAAAGAATACATAAAATATTTTATGCAACAAAATCCAAAAGCTTTCTATTTAAGAATTATATCGAAGAAAAACTTCAGTAGCCATATTTACTTTTAATTCCTTTGCTTCCTAGTACAGTTGTATAAGTACATACTGTCAAGTTTTTATATTTCACTACGTAAGTATTACGAATTAATGATTTGCTTTATATTCACAGCAAAACGTTCGTTCTCCGTTAAAATAATTGAAAACGTCAGGCAGCTTCGGATGTGATTTAAAAGTTTAATATCAGTGTGTACACAAAGGCAGAATTTTTTCATTGCACAAAGAAATTTAAAGCGAAGACTCGCAAAAGGATCAGCTGCTTTCATACTGTTTGGCCTCCTGCTCTTCTAACGAAACAAAAGAATAGTTTAAAACATTAATGGGGTCTCCGGTGAGCGGTATGCAGAAACGAATCATAAAAAAAGGACTGGTATTCATTAGCAACTCCATTATTTACAAGAGGTGGAAAGATTTTCGTCCTTATAACCAATTAATGTTAACAATGTATACGACGATTCAATGATACGAACTTGAGAAAAAAAGGTGGAGCTGTATCATAACTGGAAAATGCCCGAAAGGATCCGGAGCTTTGGTTTCCTGAAAGGGCAGAAGAACCATTTAAAATATTCAACGGTGTCTCTTGGAAGTTGTAGATACAAGGGAATTTTAAAGAAGTATCTAACAGTCTCGAGTTTCCCAACTATGGAACGAAATCCTTTCGGAAGAAGCGTCATTTAGAAGCTTCTTATCATTGAATTTCTTCTTTAAACAGGCCGGTTGCTCCACATTCGCGGAACAATACAAGAGACCAACCGGTGAAACCGTGCAATCGCTTCCCGATCGTAGAGTCTGATCAGAAAGATCGTGTATCCCTGGTCTCCTTTACACAAAAGCGTGAACACGCTTTAAACGTCGTTTTACTAACTAGAACACTGTTGCTATAAACATTAAAAACCCTAATGCTAATTGGTTTCAGTGATCCTATTATTTGTTGTATTTTTAGACCCGATTATCTCATATTACCTCGAATTTTGTAATGTAATTCTTTCATTGGATAATATAGTTTGTGTTTTGGATAATTGAAATAGCTCTGCTTTAGTTGATGACGGTAAACAATTGTTTGGTAGAATATGTATTTTCAAACAATAGAAATGTTTATTTTTCTATTTGGTCGTTAAATGCTCAAATGTTGAATTCGTATATATCTTCAACAATTTTTAATGCATATTCAATTTTTCGTGACTAACGTCTATAACCAGTTGTAGAATTTTTACAAAGTTTTAGAATTATTTATTGGGAAAAACGTAATTTTCTATTTATGTTATTTACTTATCTTCATTTTTCAACAATTCAACGCTTCGCATTATACGTATTAAACATTATTATTCTTCGAAACGTGAATTATATATAATCTCATTTTATACTTCAATTCCTTTCGTTATATCTTTAAGTCCTATTGCCCACGTTATGTTACCATCCCTACGTCCTGATCTTATTTATTCCAATAAAAGAGCTCGATCCTTGGTGACGTTCGGATAATAGAATTTATTTGCATACTTGATTCTTTTTTGTTTTTAATATATACAACCCCATTTACTCTCAGTTATATCAGCGCGTACATATTTTAACTACACATACTCCTAGGAGATCACTTAATGGCTAGGTTTTGAAATTCAGCTGATTGATCAGTCATCATTTGTTCTCACTCAATTTCCTATTAGCTTTATTTCCTAATGCCTAATATTTTCAATCGCTAATTTACTATTCCTCAGTACAACTATACGTAACCAATCAAAAGTACAAAACTATAAATTAGAATGACACCTCTTGCCTCTATACTGTTCTGCTAGACATCAAGCCATCCCTGCATAGAATATGTTACATGTTCGCATAGCTAACAATAACGCTTGGCAATAGTTCGGTTAAAAGAGGTTCAGTTAAGAATTCATATATTAGAGCTTCAGCATTTACTGGTTCGTATAAACGAGGTTCGGATAAGTAAGGTTCCGCAGTACCATTGAACGCGAATCAGTGCCAACATTAAATTATTCATTGACCAATTTTTACACCCAATTCTTTGGTAGTACACTGTGAAGAATCTTCAAGGTTCCGTAATGTAACTGGGCCGATGCATTACTGAACAACCAATTGCCGACCACTGGTCGCTAGTTGTTGGTACACAACCAGACCGCAAGGCAAGGAATTAGCATAGACCCGATTCGCGCTCCACAACCAGAAACTAATCCGACTGTTCTGTTACGTCAGGCTGGTCAGCCATCCTTAGCCTCCCTCTTTCTTCCTTGTATCAGGACTGCCTCGAACATGGTTCGCCTCACGCCGGACTTCTTAGTCCCCCGAAGAACTTGCGCGAGTGTGCACCATCGCGTTACGGACTTATTCCTTGAAGCAATTCAGCATACTTTCATTGTGGTAAAACTAGACGTGTCTGCGAAGAAAAACTCTAAACCATTTGGTAGCACAATACAAGATACTTACGTTGAAGTGTTCGAGACATCTGAAAACTTGCAACTTAGAGGATCAAAGGAAATAAACTACTTCGCTTGATCCATGGAAGACTGTATTTAAATATTCCAATTTCGACATAGCAACGGATGTTACGATCTGTGGAAAATTTATTGCTGTTTGTGTATTTCCACTGTCTACGGAGCCTAGAAACAGCGGAGGAATTCTTTAACAAGGAGTGCACTCAGACTGGACAAGGGGATTTCCGTAGAAATCGGTGAATATTTTAATACATTATGCACGGCTGGAAAATGCGAAGGAAATTTCCTTGAAGATGCAGTGTCTCAGATAAAAAGCATCTCGGCATACTTGAGAGGACACTCCAGATCTACAGAGGCGTCTTTGCTTTTTAAACACCAGTGGCTGGAGGACTAGGAATGGTGCAGAAGGTGAGAAGTAGCTGCGTGTTGTGGAAGCAAGTGCGTGCTTGAGGATTCTGCCCGTATGAAAGAATCTAATAACAACTTCATGAAGTTACAAAGTGAAGAAAAGGATCCAGATCGAGGACTTTCGAAGAATAAGGGATTACATATGCAGTTGTCGTATTATTTGATCAAATTTGGGTATAGTTATAACTCACGAACAATGTGAGAGATTGAAATTGCCTTTTACATTTTCTTTATTGTGAAATAATATGAAAATCGTTTGATAGTTTCGATACACACTACGAAATTATCGAAATGCTACTAATGTTTTACAACCAACTATCATCTTTGATTATTAAATGTTTTGAAACAGTTTTCTTAAATTTTGTTATCGCAATGTACATCATTGCTTAAAATAGAACACAATAACATGATAAATGGATTCTTCCAAAATGATGTAATTTACTGTGGAATAGTTAACGTAGTTACAGCTTTCCTTGATTTTCATCATTTTCAATAAACCAGTATAGAAACTTCTAAACACTGCTAATTCTTCCACTTTTTATATTCTCTAAATTTGATTTTAAACATATTCTACTACGAAACAAATTTTATATGGTAAAAATTCTACACTTTAAAGACTTTCTTTAGAAAATAAAAAGTTTCGAATAATATTAAACTTTTATAATTTCATCTTTATAAGTTTAATTAAAATAACTTGACGTTCATAGTCACATAACTTTTATTTGGTGCATTATATTGTGAATTACAAGAGACTATAAGAGAGAAACCTGCGCGCCGGTATATCTTTTGTAGGTTTTCTTCCATTTTCAATCCATTTACCTTACTACGCAATGTTTTCGATCTTACTTTAAAAACTGAAAGTTCGTCCGATGACACAGATGCTTATGACCAGAGGAAGGTTTTCACCATAATTTGAAACTTTCTACTCAAGTGCACATCCTGTGGGCGGCACGTCCGTTTAGGTTCACCGATTCGTTTGTCCGTGCAACGAGGGTGCAACGTGCATTCACGTTAAACCACGTTGCGCCATAACTGTAATGCTAATTTAACAGGATTTATTCAATCGAGTTCAAAGCCGGAAATGCCGCGCAATTTGTAACAAATAATCAAATGAAAAAGTTGGGACTTTTATTGATTATCGGCGAAGAACTTTCGAAAAGAGCTTAATGAACAACAATTGCGTCAGATGATATAAATTACAGAGAGGTGAAACTGAATTCACACGCGATTTATTTAACGGAAGTGAAAATGAAATTGTGCAAATCTCCTAAACACGTTGTATGTATAATCCAGTTAAATATGCTATTGTAAATTCTTCGTAGTTCACGTGAAAAGTTATATCACTCCTTCAGCTACGAAAATATTATACAATAGAAATGAATATTGTAAGTAGACAACGGATTTTATGCATTTATACAGACAAATATGAGTGCATGGAATATAAAGTGCAGAAATGTTCGTAACAATTTACGAATATTGTTACCTTATTTCAAACGTATTAAAATTCTTAGATGAAACAATCACTTTCTACTCACTTCAACTTATTGAAATTCTTAAAGAAAGAAATCAGTTTCTAATTGAACAGGGTTCCTCTAAACTGCAAAAGCTTTATTTTTCATAAAGATCTGCTGTCTCGTTCTAAGTGAGCGTTTAAACAAGCCAAACAGTTTATTTCTATTTTCTTTGAATATTAATTTAAGAGAAATTAAAAGAAAATAAGTTTATGATTGGAATTTTTGTTTTAAAATGTATACACATTCTTAGGCATAGTATATGGAACGTCTTTTAAATTTTTCTTTCTCATCACGTTAATTTGATTTAACTATATTTCCAACAAACAGTTTGAGTCTAAGTGACAAACATGCAATATGGGAACGTTTATGCGAATTTGTTTTGATATTCTTTGATAATATAAATGCATAATTTCCTTTTTTACAGTCTGAAAGAGTTAATCCTAGATCGTAATGGAATCAAACATCTGCCGCACGAACTCTGCGAGCTGAAGAATTTGAGAAATATTTCTTTAGCTGGAAATTACCTCAGCAATCTGCCGTCCTTCTTCAACATGCGAGCCCTCACGCTAACGGTATGTTGCGATGCATTTAATGAATCTTGTTATAGTATTTTCTAATTTCAAATTGTTTTCGAAGCACTGTTGAAATTCGAATTTCGAAACTCGAAACATATATGTCAACATTATGATTGGTTTCATATTTGTAACTCACAAAATTGATGCAACCTTACGACAAAATAAAAATTGTTATCCTTTCTAAAAGTATGAAAATATGCAAGTAGTTAAACTGATTATTCTTTTGAAGAAAGGAACGATAACAAATGGTTTTAAATAGAGTTAAATAAACGTTACATATGTTTACGTAGTACGACTATCTGTCTTTATTTTTTAGAGAACAAGTTGTACTAATTGTAGGTGTATCTAGTAACCGAAAAATTATAATTTTGTTCCTATTGAAATTAGAAGAAAATAATAATGCTAAGGTTTCGACTATTTGATAGGCACTATCATATTATAACAAAGTATACATACAACACTGAGTATTCAATGTAAAATATCTAAAAAAAATATTGAGACTTTCTTTATGTTTTTTATTTGTAAATAATACTTAGAAACAGTTTCTAATTCTTAGATATTGCTATAAAGTCTTGATGAAAATCGAAATCACTAGATACATGTTTTAATTAAATTTTATAATACTACAGGGGCAAACTGTTAGTTAAATGTCTATTTTGAAGACAAAAAATTACGAAATTTTCTGTAAAACTGCAATATGCTAGTGCTTTCATAGTTAAATATAAAGGTCCTAATTCTAAATCAGCATTAATACTATACACTCTTTTATCATATTTTTTTATTAGAGAAACAAAAACATATTCAACAAAATAATTATTACCAATGCAATAATTATTTCGATATTAATAATAAATCATTCATTAAACTTAGTAATGTAAACTTGTATTTTTCTTCTCGAAATATTCTTTCACGTTTTCATAACAACTCTGTTACGTAATTTCATAACCTACACTTTGTTATTGTTGGGACAACTGAAGTTGTTGCAATCAACAAGTACATTTTAAAAATTCTAGAAAAATTTTGTTTGAATTGTAATAACGACCCAGCTTGCGCCGGGTTCACAAAAAATTAGTTCATAGACTCATCAATTGTTCCCCTCCACGGAAATCTTTAGTAAAAGGCGAAAGATTTATGCGTGATTTGAAGGGAAACCAGAGTGTCGATACAAACTTGTGAACTTGCCTATATAAGTCTGCGACGTAATCATACTTTCGAGAATAGTATTATATCCGAAGCCACCTAGCGGTCAAACTATAAAACAGGGCACCATCAGGAGCGTACTAACACAACAAGTTGCGACGTGCATAAAATATTTTATAATGTTCATAAATTCTTAATAATAATTAACATTTATATACAATTGAATTAATTTTATAAATTTGTTTGCATTTCTTAAAATTAAATAATTATTTTGTTATTTGAAGTATTACCATTCGTAATATAGCTATTCAATTAATTTTTAATTTTTAATATTTTATAACTAAATACATTTGTTTCGTACATAAAGTTGATATTGTTTTTAGGATGTTTTACCAAAGGCCGATCATAATAAAACTTACAAAGACGAAAGAAGCAATCAAAATAATTTGTATAAAGTCAACTTACGAAATAATCAGTTGAAGGGAAACATTATTTTAGGAAATTATGGAGTAAGTATCGAATAATGGAATAAATGTAGATTTATATTTAAATTGTTCAAAGTAACAATTACTGACCATCCCTGTTTCTATTTCTGCGTTAATCAAGAATTTAACGCATCTAGACGTCAGTGAAAATAGCATTGAAAAACTGAACATCAGTGCTCTTCAAGAATTAAGAAGCATTCGTTGCGCACGAAATATTTTAACAGAACTGACAGTCTGTGGAAGAAACCTTGTTTCCCTTATTGCTGGAAATAACAGTAAGATCTTCTTTTGTATTCCTTGAATCTGAGTATCATCGATCAGCAGTATACTGTAAAAGAACTCAGAGTTTACTTAAAATTCAAAGTACTTCTTTTTTACAGAATTAAAAAAATTGACTATAGAACCTATACCAGTAAACCTCGAGCACCTAGATGTTTCTTAGTAAGTAAAAATAATGAAACTATCAACGTAAATAATGTAGAAATGTAATATTTTTTAATCATAACATTCATTCGTCTTGTTAATTACTTTGTAAGCATTAATTATCAATGCAAATATTTTCCATACTTTCAATAATAGTAAAACAATGTAGAAAAGTAATTTTTTATCGGTAATACTGATAAAAAGATTAAAAAAAGAATGCACTATAAAGATATTATAGTTGATTTTTATTTCTATTTCTTTTAAACATTACGATAAGATACTGATTATTGGATTGTAGGTATTTAAAGAAATTTTAATTTTCATAAATTGGTGTCAGCAATTGTTTAAAACAAAAAAATAAAACATTTATTTCACTTTTTTAATTAATATAAATATGTCTTACATTCTACAAAGTTATGTTGGCCATAAATGCACGTGATCCACAGCTAATTGTTTATTCATACATTTTCCGCAATTTTAACGTCGCAACATCTCATATCTTCAAAATCGGATCTGTTTCAGTAACAATTTAGATGCCCTTCCAGAATGGACACCGGATTTGCCAGTGCTACGTGCCCTTTTTGCTTCTCACAATGCTTTGACAGCCCTCCCAGACAGACTGCTAACCCAACCGTCCAGGCTAGAGGTTCTTCATCTACCTCACAATAGGCTGCAGGCTTTACCACCGCCCAGGAAACCCCTAAATATCGTTCACCTGACATTGCAAGACAATGCATTGACGGTTCTACCGACGAGTTTTTTCGCCAATACCGAAAAGTACACAAAAAATACATATCTTCTCTGATAGATTGCTATTTAGGGATGACAAAAATGATAATGTGCTTATGTAACTCTTTTCTCAGAATGAAGGTTCTTAATCTCTCCAACAATCGATTATCGGAACTTCCTTCGTTGGCGGATGGAAATAAAAACCGATCGACCAACCATTGCTTAGAGAAATTGTATCTTACCGCAAATTGTTTAACGGACACCGCTTTGGACACTCTCGCCAAATTAAATTCCCTAAGGGTTCTTCATATAGCATACAACACTTTGGATACCCTTCCTGAAAGGTACTTTAGAACACCTTTAAACTGCTTATTAACTTTTAAATTATAGTAACTTACAATTTACAGCAAATATTTTACAGGAAATATTTAAAAGGAAACGATTAATTAACACCTTGATATAAAAAATCAATTGTCCTTATATAAAACTTTCACCAACTATAAGAAAATATTCCGATTTAAAGTATTTTCAATATATTTCTTTTTTTTCAATATAAAATTTTTACAATATATTTTGTAATAAGATATAGTTTATAATGAATTTTTAGAAATGTTCCACATTTTTTTTCAAATTTTATAACAAATAAAAATCCATTTTTAGTTGCACAGCTTCATGGAGGGACTTGGAGGAATTAGTATTATCCGGAAATAGACTTCAGTACCTGCCGGACAACGTTGGCAATTTGCGTCATTTGCGTGTGTTACGAGTTCATTCTAACAGACTTTTAACTTGTCCAACGTTTAATAAAACAACTTCATTGAAGGTAATGTCATGAAAGCAACAGTTGAATAATATTAATCTTGAAAGAATAATCGAAAAAAAATCTAAAAACGCTAAATAAATGAATGATATATAGGTATTGGATTTAGCCCATAATCAATTGGACAGAGTAAATCTGGCTACTTTAGTGCCACCCCAACTACAGTTTTTGGATATATCCTGCAATTCAAGACTCCATGTGGACCCTAGACAATTCCAAGTATACAGATCCCAACGACCGATATCATTAGTCGATGTATCGGGACAGAATAGACCAAGTCTACCTTCTCACCCTCATCAACAGGAGATTGTATCCACGGAAAAGGGTGCGGAACAGCCGTGGAGATTAGGATTTTCAGAAACAGCGGGCTCCAGGGAACGGTAAAAATCTCAATCTTTTAAAAGAAAAAACGGCGTACTATCTTTAATCAAACAGAACGTATCAAACATAATTTTAAAAAAATATTAAAATTACATGATCCGTGTAAAAATTATGTTCCATTGCATGGAGGGTAAGATAAGACTTTTTATTGTGATCACATTTACCGTTAACTTAGTTTAATAATTTAAAATATTTTAAAAAATACGCAGGATGAAATTGAATTTCCGTTTTATTAATGAATATATATGCATAGTATTATACATATAGATGGAGTCCAAAAGTATATTATATTTAAAAATTTGTCTGTTTAAATATTACTAACGACGAATAGTTAAATTTTATAAAATAAAACTTAGTAAAGAGAAATAATTATGCTTGAAGCAATTCAGGCTCCTCAAAATGAATACGCAATGATAAAAATAAAGTAAATCATAAACAAATATTATTTCTATTATATTCATGTATTCGTATGTGCAGATTATACGTTTCACAAGTCAGAATGCCATCGTTCTGCAACGTGGAAGGGTTGTTCGGTATATTCGACGGCGGCTCCAACCAAGAAGCGCCTAGTGCGCTTCAAGAAATGATACCGCGCCTCTTGTTAGAGGAGCGAACCGTCCGGGAAACATCGAAAGAATATTTAAAATATACGCTGCTGTCGGCTCACAGAGAGTTGAAGGAAAAAGGACAGAAATATGGCATCGATACGACTCTGGTTCACATTGTCAGAATTCATCCCCAACAAGGTTACTCTAAAGCGCCAATGAGATATTCTTTGAAAGTCGCTTCTTCCGGGGACGCGAAAGCTGTTCTTTGCAGAGCAGCTGGCCCATTAAGTCTGGCCCCGCCCAAAAAAGTTCCCGTTAAAAATCAGCTAGGAAACGCGGCCATGTTCCCTTTAGTAGTTCCCGACCCAACATTCGAAGAGGTCGATTTAGAGGATGACGACGAGTTCGTGATAATTGCGAACCGAAGATTATGGGAAGTGTTAAGCATCCAGGAAGCCGTGCGAGAAGCCAGGGCAGAAGCTAGTCCGGTGTTAGCTGCTAAAAGACTGCAGGACCTGGCACAGGCTTACGGTGCAGAAGACAATTTGAGCATCGTGGTCGTTCGATTAACTGGGCCGAATCAGGGCGATTTGGATCAAGTTATGAGAGAGCTCAGACACGCTGTCGGAAAAAATAGAAACCAAACGGACGGCGTTTGTCCTTGCCCTTGTTGCGTGCCGCCGGCTGCGCATAAGCCACCGGGACCTTGCTGTTGTCATGCGAATGAGGGTTATTACCTGAATGGCGTATTGAAAAGTATAGTAAACAGGTGAACAAGATCGCATCGCTACTATTCCACCTACTGTGCGGTATTCAGGAGATGAACCCTGGAAGGAATGTGGATGTAATCGGTCAACTTTTATCTTTTCCTCGTTTTCGATACTAAGTTGATATTTGTCAATACGGTTACATGTCACCAATCAAAACCATAAACAATACACCTAGTGAAAGAGCCCTCTTACCCTCGTGCCGTCTCGGGGATCATCTCCTAAACAACGCACTGTGTTTCAGTTTCTTCAAAACTTTCCAGGCCACATTATTAATGCAAAGACAAGAACTGAAAACATTCGCGATATTCCGATACAGGTCCAACAAAGCTCATAACGGATCCGGCAGGTATTTCAAGAACCGTCGACCTGCTCAAGAAAACGAAAGCCCGCCGTACAAGGATGACAGAAGTTCGCCAAGCGGGCAATCCGATCAAGCCAGCGATAGCACTTTTAAATCGAGACATCCGTCCGGTAGGGTCTGGTCCGGAAGCGCGGCATCCAGGGCCACGAACAAAGCCAGACAAACCGTCTTGGTACACGAAAACGGAGGAAGGAAGGTAAATGAAAACGAACAAGGAAACGTGGCACGCTGTAAATGAAGACAATTGAAATAAAATGATTTATTAACACTAGAACAAACACACCCATCAAAATTACGGGTTACAAGTTTCTTATTTAACAATTGTTGATATCTTGAAAGCGTTAAATATCCGAAATGATTTGAAAAATAAATAGTTTCACTTCAACACAATAATTAATATATGAAGGAACCGAATAAAAATGTATTGTTACAATTTTTATAAGGGTTACATATTAATTATGTTGATCGCACGGTTGTTCTAGTGTTAGCCCTTAAGTAAGGTTAAACTTTTTAACGTAAGTGCCCGGGTGAGGTGTTTACAACACACCATAATAAATAAACATTTATAGGTGTGAGAAATGAGAAATTTTTGCGTCAATAGTCGGAGTAATTTATAATATTGCCAGCATGTTTAATAATTTGTGGTTTTACTAAAAAGTGATTTAATGTTATTTATAAAAGTACTCAGACAGCCAAACACGTGCAAGACGTCTTAAGACCCATTATACAGTATAAAACACTTCACCCGACTGCTTAAAAGTTATGGTAATTCCGGATCTCATTTACATCGTAAAATATTTATATTTTTAATTGTTTTTAGTGACATTTTGAATCTTGCACAGAAGTCTATTTAACTATCCTTTTTGTATATATTTACTTTCATAAATACATCTTCTTTATGTTAGGTAATGATGATATTTATGATGTAACAGCCCTTTTAACACAAAAACTACTGGACCGGTCCAATTGACTCTCTTCAGAATTCCTTTTTCTTAAAGTATTTAAATTATGAAGACGTTTTAGCGAAAGATGTTCAATTGAATTCGTGTATTTATATAAATGCAATACTAAGATACCCTTCGAATCTCAAGAAACGTATTGTTTTAATTTTGATAAAAAATTGGAAATAAGTCACTTTAATTGTTCGGTAGTTTTAGTGTTGTAAAAATGAACTATCTCCCTCCGCTTACCCTAAATATTTGTAAAATACCAATGAAAGGAACGTTTTAATAGGTTTCAAGTTTCGGGGCACAAGAGGACACCGTCTCCGAGAGATCCGGCGCCTTGAGCGAGGAGCAGTTTCGCTGCTGGGAATATATGCTCGAGCAGAATACTCAGCTCTTATTCGACAAGGAATTGGACACTTTATCGAGGACCCCATTGCGCCGAGGTCAATCGAGATCCACCCCTCAATTAGGAGGCAATTTGCCTTTTCTATCGAAGAGATTCGGAAGCGCTAGATCCTTTAATCCTTCCCTTCCGCGGCCACCTATCGTACGATTCGGCAGCGGTAGGAGATTACTGAATGGAGGACCAAATGCGGCTTACTTCGGCAGCCTGCAAAGGTTGATGCCGTATAATCTAGAATACGATTTCGCCGTCATTCAAGAAAGAAACGGATTGGACTCCCTGGAACAGGATACCACACGGATGCAACAATATTGGGGGGTAGCCACGACCGAGCTCTGATGCGAAACGATACGCTTCCGGTTTTGAAATTGTGATACGGTGTTGAAAGATGTACGTTATCAGTATTAATGGCCAATACGAAACACCAACGTGTTTATCACATTTTTTAATGAGGAATCGAAATTGAGGTGTACGTTAAGACGAAATACATAAGTGTCTAGATGAATCGTGTGATTGGTTGAAAGATCAGTAGACTATAATTCATCGAATGAAAATATTGTTGCGTAACAGCAATTATCAGTTTTCATGTTACTCGACAATTTTTTGTAATAGATGGAAACGATTAATTTCATTAGAATCTTTAATCGTAAGATTTATAAAGTGATATGAATTTCATGTTCGAAACTTTTATGAAATTATTTAATCATTTGAATAATGAAAGGGATAAAAACTGTTTTTCTATTGTAATTGAATAAGTGGTTGTTGTTTAAGTAAGAAGCCAACCTTTTATACTGAACAAATTATTAAGTATAAAATGTAACATGTAAGTGTATATAAATATAAATATCTTTATAATTAGGAACGACATTAATTATACACGAGGAAGCTTTAACAAACATTGTACTTAAAGATTATGCGTAAATCATTTGAATATATATGATTAAAATGTAAATATATACGTATATGTCGAAAACAATTGGTTAAGATATATTATCGTAAAATCAAACTACAAACATTTAAACATTTTCATGATGTATCATTCTGTTCGAGTAATGAATGAAACGATCTCACGGTATTTATACGGAAATCGTGATTATGTATAGTAAGTTGGAGAAATTAATTAAGAATAATACTAAAATAAATCTTTCTTAAAATGATAACACAAAAATACATGGATCGTGTAATAGTAGATTCTTGATTTCACGTAAATATATTTTTGTACCGGAACAAAGTGGCGACTTTTGTACCTGAAGTTACGAAATAAGCGATCGAAGCGACAAAACTTTTGCATTTTACAGTGAAATAAAATTACAAATTGAGAATTGATATCCTGATTCATTGACCCGAAGCAAGTAAATCATATAATCGTTTCGCAAATTTTTCGAATCTAGGGTGATAAATTAACAGACATGAATTTCCAAACATCATTCATTATCTCTGTTTTTCCGCTATCTAATGTCTTAATGGTGACCTTGATAAGCATTATCTTATTTGTCGACCAGTATGAAACTATCCGTCTACCGCAATGAACTTTTTACGGAGTCGTTGAAACAGATTAAAAGATATGGTTGCAAAGAAAAGTAAACACATATGTACTTTCTTTTAGTTTGTATCACTATTGTACGTCTATAAATAACACGATGTAAATTGTTCTTTTTTCGACATAAAGTTCGGAGCAATACAATTTTCCGCATTAACATCAATAATAAACAATTCAGCATAAAGCTTAAAACAAAAACTTGATCAAGTCTTTATTCAGAAGATAAACTTACTCCGATGATCTCAGTGAATTGATAACTCTTAATTGTAAATTAGTACTACCTTTAATAAGTGAAACGTGTATATATATATATATATTTTGACTTATTAAATTGTATATGTCTTTTATAAGTTAATAAATTGATTTAGATTTATTTATTTGTAATGTAAGCCTCTTCTACAATAAAATATTTAAAACGAAAATATGTAATTATTTAAATATACAGATACCATGCATTAATTAGTATTTTATGAATATATTATACGTGTAATTTCGATTATTAATATTAACCGTAAGCAGAGGAAAAATGATTTATTTAAATTTGCTTATTATGCAATTAAAAATTACTACAAAAGCATTACGCGCGTTGCGTAATGCACGCCACACAGATAATTAGATTAAATTAATGACTTTATTATGTAAAGTAATTCACTGCCTGTGACACACCCCCAGCGCTTGAAAAATAGGCTGCCAGTATATTTATAGACTATTGAATAATTCACTGACTCTCCAACCACTACCTTTCGTGTTTAATGCAGATTATTAATATCTTTCTTACATTTATGATGTTTTTGAAAACAAATGATCAATTACAAGATACTTAGAGTTTGTCGGTCAGGAAATCTATATTACTGCAAAGACGATAAAAAAATTAAATATTATGTAACGAAGTGCGATGTTTCGCTTATCCTTATCAGATTTCTTTTAACAAAATTGTTACTGTTTATAACAATAACACTCTTAAAACAATATAGATATATGTTTACATAAGAATTTTGCTGGATTGAATGACAAAAAAAATTGTATGTAATTCATTTAGACTGCACGGGTAGTTGGAAGTAAGAGAAGTACAATAAATGTATTGATATTTTGAACTAATTGCCAAATAGAGTCTTATGCTTCATTTATAGGGAAGTTAAGTATGCCGGCAAGAGCGATACGGTTTTGTTTTCTTTTGGCTGAGTCGACAACAAATCCGGTCATCAAAAATATCGGTTGCTATCGAGAATTAGAAAAACAATATCTACAAAATGTGTCTATGGTTATTGCATTTATTTTAGCCGCTGCTATCATTGTAGGCTGACAAATGTATATTGTTAACTAAACCAAAAATAACATATAATAATAACTGATAACATCCAAAAAATTATAATGAAAAAAATGTTGTACTATTGTTCATTAACTATATAGTATTTATTATAAAAATATTTTTTTATTTTATAAACCTAAGACAATATTTATATATTACTTATACCTCTTCATAAATATCTGTTAGAGCTAGAATTTTATTCGATCACATGAAATAATCGTTTAAAACAAAAATCATTAGTCAGATAATAATAACTCTTCAATACTTTACTTGTGAAAATAAGATACAATCGAAAGTTGATTACAATTTCCAATCTAGATACTTAATATTACGTAATGATCTAATAATCAAATCCGAAAGATATCAGTTTTTTCGGTAAGTATAGGCTGCATATCCAGGACAAATCTTTAAAAACACTTTATTCAAGAATCCATATCCATTCGTAAAATACTATTTTTAATTAATCTAGAAATTATATTGCATATAATGTCTGTTTATTAGATATTTATTGCAATTGACAATCAACAATTGTTTCATTTTAATATAAATCATAGTGCATTACAAATATTTAGCCTATCGGCACACATTTGATTTTGAGATGATTCAAACAAAAATCACTGGTACTGTAGCATTGAAATTTCCGATAATACAATTTTTATAACCATTCTATTCCATAACGTATCTCTCATTAGCCGCTTTAGCTTCAGATACAATCATTTTAATCCTAGATAACTAAACTTAAATCAGTGTTACTCCGTAAGTAAACATTCAACTCATACTACAAATTAAAGATATGCATATTTTTATATTTCTTTTATCTATTATTTCAAAAAAAGTAGCACAGCTTAGGATATGTATTATTAATTTTTAATTAAAAAACAGAAAACCATTCGAAAGTAACGTTTGCAGCTTTGACATGTCTTAACAGTGTGCTCCCGAATTGAAATTCACAAAAATGGTAAAGGTCGGTAGATTATTTAGGACGAATGTTTAGTTATCTATGGTTAACAACGTAAGACATAAAGATTGGAAAAACATTTTTTTTTCTACGCAACAATTTTCCTTATCTCCCCATAAAACAGCAATAATTTTTTATTACAATTTTCATCGTGGAAGTACAAACAGAAAAAAATTAACTTGATAGAAGTAACATAAAATGTTTGTCCCTTTACAATATGTTTGTACGTGGTATGATAATCAAATTATGTTGACATATCTAGCATTATGCACAAGCCTTGAATAAATGTGGAACGTATCGGGCAGTCACGTGCATGTGTACACAAGAGGAACAGAAAAGTGGTGGGGTTTGTATAACCCGATTGAAACTCGACTCCACAGTCAGTAGTATTTCGACGCCGACGGAGGTTGCGTTATTGTGTTTTGACGATTTCTCTCTGTCCCTTTCATCGACTCTCCCTTTGTCTCTCTTTTGTTAAATCGTTCACTTGTGTGTAACTCGTGTTCCTAATATTTGCTAGAATATATTTTTTTACTGCGATGCGTGCCCGCGTTTATCATTCGTTGGTGAAACACATCGGTCCCGCGTTTTTTAGTTAGTTCGTCTGCTATGATACCCACTAGAAGAAGAGCTTGATTTGAGTGCACGTGTCAAGACGTAGTGAGTAACATTAGGCATTATCGCTATCACTAACATACCTACAAGCCAAGAAACATTATTTGATTTTCGATACGTGACTGTTTCCGTCAATTTGTTTTTCAAGGTGTGTTTCAAATCGAATTTCTCGTGAAGCTGTCTATCCGATACGTTGAAAACAAAAGTCAATAGAAATAGGACTATTTCTTAACAAGTGTAACCGTTTGATTGATTGATTTTTTTTTCACTGAGTATTGTAATATTTTGAAGAATCATCAACACCTTTTAACATGAATATGCATAGCGCGGGTATTCAGATGTAGCATGAAACTCACCCATGCAACACACACACATGTGCAATTCCATGCTTGCTCAGTGTTAAAAATAAATTCAACAATCTATTGTTCTCACATATGGCAGTGTTTTTAGTATCTCATTTTTTTTGTATATTTAGATCTTTTTTATATCATATTATACATTTATATATACAAAGTCGTGCACGAAACTATGCGAGTCAAAATGAAATGACTTTATACTAAACCGAAAGTCCACAGCTGACTCAGCCAACGTTGCACAGAATGGTTTCTTCAGCTAAGAATTTCGTCCACATTGTATTCGAATGAAACGGATAAAAATACATTTGTTGTTATTAATAATTTCACAACCGCGCGCGCGCCAAAGACTTCAAAGTGAGGAGATTTCCCCATTCGATTGATAGTATTAACATTTATCACAGCAAAAATCAAGTTTAAGCACAATATCGTATTTATTCCTCGATTTCTTATCATTTTATGTCTGTGATTATTGTTTCAATTCACATTTATTTTATCTAAGGATTTTTTGTAATACTGTCAGAGAATATATAGGTTGCAGTTTTTTTTTAGAATCATGCAAGCTGTATAGTCTGTTGCGCGGTCGATTGTTGCGATTTGAGAAAGCGAGTGTCAACGCTTTAAGTTTTAGAACCACTTTAGAAATTTACCCCATTTTTTTAAAAATGTGAAATATTTTTATTTTATTTTACTTTATTTTACTTTATTTTACTTTATTTTACTTTATTTTATTAATTTGCATAGCTAAAAATTACTCACGATGACGCGTGATTCGGGTGAAAATTTCTTAACGACAATAAAATTAATACAAAAAAAATCATGACAAAAATCTCTCGAACTTCTTCACAGGCTTTGAACTTGAACTACACACTTTATTCGATAGAATGTGCGGTATACTTGATAAACGAACACTGCTGATAAAGGCAAACAACTTTTCCTGGCTTTACGTCAGCTGACTATAGTGGACTCATAGATTTCCATAATACGCATGCAATTATTCAAAAGCAGAACTATAAGTGTCTTAATACCAAAATAAACGCTTGTTTTTCTATTTTTTTATTCTTTACATAATTGAGCAAGTTATTATTGACAATAATGATAATCTGAAAAATTATTATCATTCTGATTCCATATACGTCATAAGCAACTGTCAACAATATTTATTGCTATTTTATCATTGATATGTACCAATATTTCAAGTTTGTTTCTTGATAACATACGGAGAATAAAGAAATGTAAAACACAATGTGTCAAATAATTTGATTATTCTATTTGCCTACGTTAAACAAGTAACATTATAATATGTACTACATAGTTGTTGCTCGATTGTAAAATGTCTCTGGCATCTGATCGCGTCGAATCATTCAGTTAGAAACGCTCAGAGGAAATTAGAATGGCCGTCAATGTCTCAAGGCTGAAAAATGAACACGTTGAGCTAAAGTGTGAAATTAGAAACGGTCTGATTTCTATTTAATTTTTTTTAAAATAAACGAATGAAAAATTTTGTTAGTTGACTAACATTTCTTTACAATTTATGTATGCTTATTAGAAAATGTTATGTTCCAACCGGATTAATGAATGTGGAACAATGGTACAGTTGAACTATATTTATTTATTTACTTATTTATTTATTTATATTAAAGTGGTCGCATTAACTGTAGAGTCGTAAAGGAGCACTTACATATTCCAGTTACATACTACATAGTTACGCACTGTAAATTGCATTAATAACACACAATCTAAGACTTCATTAAATTACTTAACACTACGTTTACGGACATTTATTGTACTGTTTATTCCATTGTTCCCAGAAAAATGAATGTTCGTTCATTTAAATTTTGAAAATTAGAGGTTTAAAACCAGACAACTGGGATACATATTCGTGCAATTGTATCAATCAAAATCGACGTAAACATTTGCTAAATAATGTTCATAAAATTCAACATGCAATCAACAATATTATATTTACAATGAAGTTATAACATACTGTGTTACTGAAGTAGTA